AGCGCAATGATGGTGCCAACTTGGGCCAGTGAAGCAACGTCCTCCACAACTAGACTGAAGAATAAAAAGACAGCAACTTGTCTGTTCCCCTTCCCCCAATTCCCCAGTGCTGTTCCCATTCCCCAATTCCCCAATAAAAACCTTAAAAAAAAAATCTCTTGTTCCACAGTGTTTCATGGAGTTCCACCAAAGGGCATCATCAGATCCATGAACCCCACTCTCTGATCAAGTGTGAGAATCACTGATCCTTTTTTTTTTTTTTTCGGCTGAGCCATCCTGTCACCTGTTGGCAGCTCAGTGGCAGCTCAGCTCAGGCTGGGAATCTAACAGGCAACCCTGTTGCTCAGAGCTCGCACTCTGGTTTTTTTTTTTGTTTTTTTTGTTTTTGTTTTTGTTTTTTTTTTTTTAGCTGAGCCATCCTGCTACCTATTGGTAGCTTAGCGGCTGCTCAGCTCTCTTGAGAGAGCTCTTAACTAACTGAGCCACTCGGCCGGCCCCACTTCCCTTATCTTTTATAGGAAACCAGTTCCTCTGAGGCTCTGGGCTCACATCAGACCATTTAACCTTATGCCCTCCTGTGTCTGTCACCATCTGCTGATTTCCTACTCCCTTCCCCACATATTTAGTATTTCTTTTCAACTCTCCTTTTCAAACTTATCCTTCCCTACCTTATTCCCCAAGTCTAGATCCTAGGCCACTCCTCACTGGCTACAGTCTTCTTAAGGGATCTCATTTGTGCCCATCTATATGCCAACACCTTTCCAGTTTAACTCCTGCCCAGACATCTCATCCGAGCCCCAGACCTAGATTGGCAACTGCCTACTTGAGACATATTTGCACTTGGGTGTCTCAGAGCATGTCCACTCAACATGTCCAAATCTTAGCTCATGATGTTTCTTGCCAAGGCCAGTCCCCTTCTAATGTTCATTTCAACACGCAGCCCTACCATCCACTCATGTCCATCTGCTACAGCACTTAGTCCTGCTGCTTTTACCTCAAATCCACCCAACTCGTTATTCCCACTACAATCATCCCAGTTCAAGCTACCTTCACCTCTTGCCTGGACTACAAAACTGATCTCACGCACTCTGCCTTCTCTGTAGCTCCTTCATCACACAGCATCCAAGGAAGCCTTGTCTAATGAAAATATAGTGGGAGCCACAAATGCAAGCTACTTAAATAATTTTAAATTTCCTAGTAGCTACATTTAAAAAGGTTTGCAATAAACAGGTAAACTTGATTTTAATTACATTTTATTTAACCCAAAATATTATCATTTCAATGTGTAATCAATATAAAAAATAATGAGATATTTTACATTCTTTTTTCATACTACGTACTTGAAATGCAACGCATATTTTATATTTACAGAGCATCCCAACTAAAACAAACAATATTTCAAGTGTTCAGTAGCAGTAGCCACATGTAGCTAGTAGCTACCTATTGAATAGTGGAGATCCAGAATGATCTTTTTACAATGTAATCAGATCATTTCACCCCACTCCATGTTTAAAATTCTTTTGTGACTTCCCAATTGTTCTTAGGGTTAGGATGCAAATACTTAACATAGCCTACA